CGTATGCCCTCGCCGTGAACCAGCCAACATGTTTCTCTGTGAAGTGGCAGAAGAAGACAATCAGCGATGCAACGCCGCGCAGACCATCGAGCCACGAGGTAGGATATAAGCGCCGGTGTTTGAAGTCGTTGGGTCGGAGTCGGCGCTGGACGAAGGAGGGCAGCAGGAAAAAGAGGATTGCCGTCAATCGTGCGAACAGGGAGCCGGATTGCGCGGGAGGACTCGAGCCACCGGGTGATGAGGGTTCTGAATTCGAATTGACGTTTCCCAGAGGGGAGTAGGAGTATGCGCTCGGGGAGATACGGGCGACAGCTCCCCGAAGGGAGCGAACGACGAGGGGGATCATGGCGATGATGATGGCTATGTCGTCGGCATGCCCTTGAAGAGGAGTTTTTCGAAGATTTGACGTCGGCTCAAAGGAGAGGTGGTGTTTGCGGAATGTGTAGTTGTCGGCGCGCTGGTCTTAGGTATTGTGGCCGGGCTGGCTGTCGGTTGAACGTGGACTCGATGAACGGCGGATCGTGTGAGGCGTCGGATGTCACAATCGACGTGGCTCGGCAGAGTTTCAAGATCACCCAGACAGACGGACCACAGAGTCAGCGAGGTACGACTGTGGACGAGCCGGGAGCAGCCGGCAGTTCGGCGACGAGGCACAGGCGGAAGCGAAGAATGTTGACGATCTAGAAGGGTGCGTAGAAAAAGTTGAGGGAAAAGTTGAGGGGAAGGAAAGCTAGTCGTGCCGGCTACACAGAAGAAGGGAACTCGACTCGAGTCGGCTCGAAATTGGGTTTGGCGGCAAAAAGGACGCCAGAAGGCAAAGACGGCGGGAGCTTGGCGAGCTTGGCGTTGCGTTGCTCCTTGACAGATGGCGCTAATCTGCCCAGGGACAAGGGGGCAAACCACCAAAACCGCAAGGGGGGAATAGGCCGCTGGTTGGAGATGTCGTACGGATACTCGTGGGTGTGTGCAGGATCGGAATCCTTCTTGCAGGTCGGATGCGTGCTCAAGTGGGAATGGCGGCTTACTGACGCGGGCTGTTGTGCTAGGCCCGAAAAGTGAGTGTTGGAGAAGGGAGGGACTCGGGGAAGGCGGCGAGTGGATGGATAAATGAGCGAGGATTCCCCTTTTTTTTCTCTTTCTTTCTTTTGGAAGCGATGTTGCTCAGAAGCGGCCGTTTGTTTTGATCTGGAGCATTCAGTGTTCAATGCAGGTGGGCAGTCAGAGATGCGATGAATTGCGGCACAGCTCGTGTTTGCAGCCTGACTTGCAGTGTCTGCAATGGCGAGAAGAAGGCGCGAATACGCAGTGCCCTTTACGAATACAACGACAAAAGCTGCATTGGATTCCGAGGTGCTTGTCTCGCCTTCGGGTAAGTAGGTACGAGATAATAAGGCAAGGTGAGATGAGATGAAATGAGATGGGGAAGCTACGACTCGCTCAGATTATCCCACTGCGAAGCGTCGAGAGGACAGAAACAGACGGGAAACGTAATGGAAGCTACCTGAAGTAGGAACAGACAGTGGAAGGAAAAGAAGCACTTTGTCTCCATAGGTACTCCTTACTAATTGAGATATTGTCCCCTCTGCATTCTCTTTCTCTTTCTGTTCTATTGACCTCGGTGGTGCAATTATTCTGAGGCAGAGGATGAACTCTATAAGAAAATAGGAAACAGCTGTTGTGTGGTGCTTTCCCCAGACATCTCCACCCATCTGCTCCTTCCTTGTCTGATGGATTACAAGTACGCCCGGCGTTGCCCCTTCTGATCTGAGTTCTGGGCAGCTTCCCAGCTTCCCACCTTTCCAAGATCCATCCACCGAGGCGGGAATCCACTGGTGGCTCCTGCTTCCCGAGTCCACAGACTATGTACCTACAGCGGTCCTCATCTCTGGACTCCGGAGACCCTGAGTCTAAACTCAAAATGTCCTTAGCCGATGCCACCCTCAAAGTCAAGCTCCATTCTCATTCTCTAATTTCGTAACCTTCCACCCAGACACGCCAGAGTAGATGAACTATCATCTTGGTTGTCAGCCAATTTTCTCACAGACCTGAGTCTCTATGCGCGAAGCTGAGTACCTGAGAGAGAGGTCTTGACGAGGCTGATAGATATTCGTTGAGAACATCATGATGACTGGAGGAAAAGCCAACAGAAGAGAGGAAGGTAGCGCGCTTGGGTACGTGTTATTCGTACTTGCCCGAGCGGGTGATCCTCCTTCCCAGTTGAACTGAGGTGACCCGCTGAGACGAGGTACCTTACTTAGGTACTTGGGTTCGTACTCAGGCAGGCACTCAGGCAACCCAGGCTGCCAGGGAAGGAGAGGCATGGAGGCAATTGAGTTTCACCACCGAGTTGTTTGCAGTGAATACCTAGGTAATTCCCAACTTCAACGACACCCCACCCATCTCCGTCAGGATGTTGCACTTCTTCATGATCAACAATGGACAACTTGACCCGACCAATGTCAAATATCCCTACGAAGCCCGCTCCGCAACAGTCGAATTGCTTGTAATAGCGCCTCGACCCTGCGCCAACGATACCGACGCGTCCCTCGCATTCCTCCAGGCCCGGCCCCAATCCCCTTTTCATGCCTCATACCCGAGAACTGCCTTGGCGACCCAGACAAAACAGCTCGACGTTCGCTGGTGCACGCCAACAGCGCAAACAGAACCCTCGCGCCGGACTTAGGCGGACCTACGGATACTGTCCACTGCATTGAGTCGGCTTGCTTCAGCCATAGCCATTTCAGACACGCTCTGTTCGAGATGGGTCACCCACGCCATCATCTGCCACTCCTGGGCCCTCAAGCACTACCACCATGCGAAGACTTGACTTCCGCAATCCCTCATGGGTACAACTGGGAATAGTTCATTCAAACTTTTCCATAGGAAATATTCTCTCCGTCTTGTTAGACTGACTGACATTTGCTGAGCCATGGCCAAGCGCCTCATAGTCAGTCGCACACGATTATTCCTAGCCACCCTTCTCTCAACACTGGCCAGCAGTTACAAATAGCTACTAGACTCTGTCACGCTTTCTCGACGCCTGAAACGGTCTCAGGCTCTATAATCACTGTTGGGACTCTTCAAAACGCTATGCATGGCTAGAGAGAAACCAGCCATCATAGCCCCCAGCGGTATTGAGCAGTTGGGGTGGCGGCCAGGTGGTCAACGTTTTGCCCGGAAAAGGCATCCTAGAGACCCGTCTCCCGCCGCACCATGTGCTGCACTGCACTTCTTCTTTGGCCCCCATCTGTCAACCGGCCTATGCAAGCAACTTACGATCCCTCGCCTCGTGTCTTCAACCTGAGCAGCCAGCTTTGCGTCATATCATAGGCCTCCCAGTCAGCGGCCAATTGATACAGACTAAGGTAGTGCCCACGCATCTGCTGCTTGTAAGCTGACTGCAGTCTTGAACGGTGTCATCCCGCACCGGCTCCCCCGAACTGCATGAAGCCGGCCTCTGTGGCCACGCACTCGACTGCTCGCCAGCAGGGTTAAGACAGGTTCGACAGGCACCATCTCAGCCCTATGAGTATACCTACTGACATGGCCTCCAGGACTGTCTGCTATAAGCGGGCTGCCCATAGTGCACTGGCCCCATCGCAACATCGCATTCCTAGCCGACTTGCACAGGTCAGCAATTGGCACTCGACTGGCTCTCAAAAGGCACGCGAGATGTTTGCCCATCATCACAATCTGAGTCGGACCATTGAGGCTACTATGCCAATCAGAATTTGCTCACATTCGGCGTGTTCTGCCTCGTTCGAACCATTACGTTGTTTTTGTTTGTCAAGCTGGGAGACAATGCCTCGGAGATTTGAGTTCCAATTCCATCAACAAGCCCAGAGCCTCTCATCAATTACCCCGGATTCCTTCCATTTCCAATCCGCGGAAAGGAACTGTCGACGGCTGGCGGTAGCCCGTGTCTCAGACCCCGCAATCCAAGGGAGTGAGGCCACCCCTCCCGACGGAAGGACTTGGACATCTCATCAAATAGTCGGCATTCTATGAGTCTCGTAGATTTGATCGATGGCGGTACGGTCCGGCCAGTCTTTGTGAAATGAGGCACGGCAGCAGACAGTAAGGGCACCAGATCGTTATCTTGTGCCCTTTTTCGGTGACGACGTCCATGGCGGGTTATCCTTGATCTTTGAGTACGACCAGTCATTCGCCAATGCGGATACTGTTGCACCGCCCAGCGGCACAGGACTATGTATGTATCGTCCAGTGAGATGGAGGCGGACGGCTGGAGGATCACTGCGCATTGGCCCCAAATGCCCCCACGCAGAAAAGAAATGGTGGTGCGCCTCTTATTCGACTGGCTTGCACAGAGTGCTGACACCCATCGCCAAGCAGTTGACATGACCAAACGGGCCCTAGTCGACCTCAACGACTTCACCTGTTCCGCGAGCTATCGAAGCACGTTGGTGCAGAGTTGCAATATCTCCTCACACCGGGCAAACGCAGTGCTACGGTGCAGTTTGTCAATAACTCAGATATCAAGGCTGTTTCCGGAACACAGCAGAGCAGGCGGGGGGCCCTCCGGTAACATCGTAAGCACAGTTGCGGCCGCATAACATGTTCTCACCATTCCAACAACGGCCCCCCCAGCCGTGGTCAACTCCAACTGACCCGAGCCAAACCGTTCCAGGCATTATCAAGTCCCTGCAACTCTGTCAAAAACCGGGGACCGCCAATTCGCAATGCACTACCAGGCCCTAAACGGCCGGGAATGGCGTGGGCTTGAACAGGGTCAACAAGGCAGCTCCCGTGGAACATACGCATTACGGCAAATACGTCCGAGAATGAAGACAGCAAGTTACGAGCTAGATTGGTCCCTGGTAGCCTACGACATTATCACATGTTGACCAACTTCAGCAAGAGATCGACTCATAATACTTGTGGTATCCGTAGGTGTCGCGCAAATACGATCTCATCTCCCCCGCCGGCGCCCATACATTCACCGAAATCCCGGCTGAGACAGAGTCATCGCTCCAACTGGCATGACACCAAGAAAGAAGGCGGCCTGGCATACGAATCACCTCTTCAATGATTGGCCATTGACGCATCTCGCTGGCCTCATCAGGAACTCATTGACTTCAGCTACTTCTCTAGTAGCATCATGTCTTGCACAGTGCTTGCTGTTTTCGTTCTCTTCTAGCTCGGCAGAAGAGGAAAGCTCTGCAACTCTTTGCTGCTTCTGTTGTCCCATCCACCATACCTGGAGTTGTAGGCAGGCACGCAGGGGACATTCAGCTGCGCCCTCGCAGCCCCCACGATGCAGAAGTCGGCCTGCGATATCAACCATTATTGGTTCGGCGCCGCACGACAGCAGGGGGGGTTCGTTGGTCCCTAGCTTCGCATCCCGGCCAATCGTCTCCCATGTTTAGTCAACAGACGCATTTCTTCATCACCGTCGACTTCTTCATCAGGCCAAGCCTGGTCAATGATTGGCGTACCTCCATAGTACCTCGGGAGCGAAGCCCTACAAGACGACCAAACTAGTAGCGGGAAGCCTAGGAATACATTTGCTTCATCGTCTTGCGCTATTGCCTAGCACAAACCCATGACGGCCTTGTGGAGCTTCGAGAGCTGACCTCAGCGCCAACGAGGGGACTAAACGAGAAAAAGTATCCCAGCCTGATCCTCAACACCATGTAGCACAGTGTCTACTGGCTCACCCGATTCCACTACGCCTCGTCATGGAGGGGGTATCTGTAATTCCATATCTGCTCGTCTCGGACAATGTTGTCCGCTGTCAATTCCATGGGGCAAGAAGCGGCCTGCTCACATACATATATGAAGGAACCCGTCGCCCCAAATCCGAGCCTGCCTGTGTAAACGATACCTTCCTTTTTCCTTCAAGTTCAACTTTTCTCTCTCCTTCAACTTGCAGTCGACTGGACTATCCGCCAGCATGTCTCAAGCCCAGGAGCAATTTCCTAAGCACCAGCCTCTCCTCACGGAGGTGTCGGAGAAGTTGGCGGCTGCTCGCAACCTCGTTCAGAAGTCCCTTGCGGCAGTCCCACCGCACCCTGAGCCAGTTCCAGGTACCGCTGCGCAGCAGCCTGTACCGACACATCTTTTGCAAGATATCAAGAAACTCGGCTTCCAGGACTTCGAGACTTTGGCCGAATTCGGCATCACTGCTGTGCAAGGCAGGATCAACGACAATGATTTGCTCTTGGAGCACGTCATCCAGCTTTTCGCCAAGTTGCCTCGCGGCACCATCAATGGCAAGAAACTCGAGTATGGCTTGATCAACCAGCTTTGGGATGGTATCGACCATCCGCCTATGACAACTCTCGACGAGAAGTTCAAGTATCGCGCAGCCGACGGCTCCAACAACAACATCCACAGCCCGGCCATGGGCGCAGCTGGCACAGCATATGCTCGGTCAGCTCCGCCAATCACCTATCAAACCCCCAATCAGCCAGATCCCAGCCTTCTGTTCGATATGCTCTTTGCTAGAGGCGAGGAATTCAAGCCTCACCCCAACAAAATCTCAAGCTTCCTCTTCTACTTGGCTACCATCATCACTCATGATATCTTCCAAACCGTGAGACAATACCCCTCGCGCTGGTGAAACTCGGGTTGCTAATCGAAGACACCATAGGACGGCCTCAGTGGTATCAACAAGACATCCTCCTACCTCGACCTTTCTCCTCTCTATGGTCGCAACCAAGAGGAGCAGGATCAAGTTAGGACAAAGCTGGATGGCAGACTCAAGCCTGACTCATTCTCTTCCAAGAGAGTCCTTGGTTTCCCTCCCGGCGTCGGTGTTCTTCTGATGATGTTCAACCGCTTCCACAATTATATCGTTACACAGCTTGCAAGGTTGGATAGTCCATCCCGAAATTCGATCTATACTAATGGAAATTAGCATCAATGAAAACAACCGATTCAACAGACCTCCTGGCGATGCCATCGATCCCGAGGCTGAGGCCCCCAAAAAGCCAACGGAGCCGGAGGAAGCCGTTCCAGTCGGTCACCCAAGATACCTGGACTGGATTGAATCCCCAGCCTACAAGGAATATACGAGCACCCCCGAGTACAAGGAATGGACCAGTTGGACTGCTTGGGTCAAATTTGACAACGACCTTTTCCAAACAGCGCGTCTCATCACTTGCGGTCTCTACGTCAGCATCGTCCTTCGCGACTACGTTCGTACCATCTTGAACATGAACCGCTCGCCTTCTAGCTGGGCGCTGGATCCCCGTACCACTGAGGGCAAGAGCGTTCTTAGAGCTGAGACCCCCGAGGGTACCGGGAACCAGGTCTCTGTCGAGTTCAACCTTATCTACAGGTGGCATTGCACCATTTCCCCCAAGGATGCCAAATGGACCGAAAAGGCGTTCCGCGAGCAGCTCCAGGTTAAGGGAGTAACCAAGGATGTCAAGGACTACACTCTCATGGAGTTCGGCCACGCTGTGAGGGACTGGGAGAGACGTATCAGTGATGACCCCGTCAAGCGCGACTTCGCCGGCCTGAAGCGTGGCAAGGATGGTGCGTTCCGCGAAGAGGATTTGGTCAAGATCTTCAAGGAGTCCGTCGAGGATGTTGCTGGTTCTTACGGCGCGAACAGAATCCCCGAGATTATGAAGCCAATCGAGGTGCTCGGTATGATGAACGCGCGAAAGTGGAATGTTGCCACCCTCAACGAGTTCCGTGACCACTTCGGCCTCACCAGACACCCGACATTTGAGGACATCAACCCGGACCCCGAAGTCGTCAAGAAGCTGAGATATCTCTATGGCACTCCAGACCAGGTTGAACTGTACCCTGGATTGGTTGCTGAGAAGGCTAAGCAGCCCATGTCCCCCGGAAGTGGGTTGTGTGGCGGCTTCACCATGACTAGAGCGATCTTGTCTGATGCGGTTGCCCTGGTTCGTGGCGACCGATTCTACACCGTCGACTACACGCCGAAGAATCTGACCAACTGGGGGTACGTATTTCTGATTTCTGTTGCGCAGATGAATTCGAATAGCCACTAACTTTTGCATAGTTTCAACCAGTGTAGCTACGATCACAACGTTGACCAGAGCCATGTTCTGTACAAGCTGGTGTTCCGCGCTTTCCCCAACTCATTCGAGCAGAACAGCGTTTACGCCCATTTCCCTCTCACAGTGCCCTCCGAGAACAAGAAGATTCTCGAGGACATCAACAGAGCCTATCTCTACTCCTGGAAGGAGCCAGTCACCAAGCGCAACATGATTCCCATCTTCTCCCACAAGGCTGTCAGCGAGATTCTGTACAACCAGACAGACTTCAAAGTTGTCTGGGGCGATGCCATCCGTCACCTGGTCGCGCAGCCCGGCAAGGAGCACGGCAAGGACTTTTGTCTGGCTGGCGATGGCAAGGCCAACACACAGAACCGCACTCTCGTCAGGAAGGCTTTGATCACGGGTCCTTGGGAGAAGGAAGTGTTCAAGTGGTATACTCATATGACGCCTCGGTTGCTGGAGCAGAACAGTTTTGCCATTAGGAAGGGCGTCAGGGAGGTTGATCTTGTTCGGGACGTCATCAACCTGACAAACACACGATTCAATGCCGCCCTCTTCCACCTGCCCATCAAGAACGAGGACTCGCCACTGGGTGTTTACACTGACCAGGAATTGTATGTGGTTGTCGCCACCCTTTTCCAGTCTGTTTTTCTAGATGCGGACATTGGCAACAGCTTCAAGCTGCGGACGATTGCGCGAGAGCTCGGTCAAGGTTTGGGCAAGCTCATGAGCCTCATTTGCCTGACCATCTCCAAGGCCGGTTTGATCACGAATATTGTCGCCAAGATCAGAGAGGGAGAAGCCTCGCTTCCCACCTTTGGAAATCATCTCATTGAGCGCCTTCTTGCTGACGGCAAGGACATTGAAGAGGTCGTTTGGGGTACCATCATGCCAGTCGTCACCGCCAATGTTACGAACCAATCGCAAGTCATGGCTCTTTGCATCGACTACTACCTTGGAGAGGGTCACGACCACCTGAAGACTCTTTACAAGCTGGCTCATGAGGATACACCTGAGGCGGATGAGAAGTTGATGAAGTAGTAAGTCTAACCTAAACACTTCCTGCATGTTGGAAATTCCTCTAACGTTGTCTCAGCATGTTGGAGGGTTGCAGACTCCGCGGCACCGTTGCTGTTTACCGTGAGGCCGTTACTACCCAGGTCATTACCGACTACGCTCCTTGCCTCCTGGACCCCAATGACCCGACCTCGCGCACGCCCAAGATCAACGACGATATCGACGGCACCAAGTACGAAGTCAAGATCCCCAAGGGCCAAAAAGTCCTGTGCAACCTGATGACGGCCGGTCGCGACCCGACCATCTTTGAGGCCCCCAATGAAGTGCGTCTCGACCGCCCTCTCGAGTCGTACGTCCACTACGGTCTCGGCCCCCATTGGTGTGCTGGCAAGGAGATCAGCCGCGTGGCGCAGACGAGTCTGTTTAAGCAGATTGTTGGACTCAAGGGACTGAGGAGAGCCGACAAGACGCCTACTGGAAACGGAGGCCGTGGGAAGCTCAAGAACATGCCTGCCGGTGCCTGGCCCGGCCAGGTCGGTCTTCCTGTTGGCAGCAACCAGAACGGCGCCAGCAAGAAGGATGAGCCCTGGCTGGGTCTGCGCACCTTCATGACGGCCGATCAGAGCTCATACTGGCCTGTGCCGACGACGATGAGAATCGAGTGGGACGAGTAAGAAGGGAAATTGTTGACTTGATTTGTACGAAAAAAGGGTGTAGGATTATTCATGATGGAGTACTGTATGAGACTGGGTACCGATTACTTGGGTTTAATCAAAGATTCCTTAATTGGCTTTCCATCGTCGTGATCAGTTGCAAGTGAGTTGAGTAGACTTTGACCAGTGCCCGAAGAAATAAGGGACTAACGACAAGGAACAACTAAGCCTGTCTAATTCATAAATTCGGACGGAAACTTTTGGTTTAATAACAAAATCAGTACATAAAGCAGGCTGAGCACCATGAAAACCCCAGCACCGTAACCACTACTCGGCACCTACTCTGTAATGAGATAAGGAGTCACAGCATGAAGTATCGTAGCCAGTTTCTCCGCAAAAGATCCATTTTCATTGTATCATCTTGGACATGAGAGAGATACTTGCTCTGCTCTTTGAAAGACTCCTCCCAGTAAGTCCCAATATTTTTGACCGCGCAGTCCAGCTGTGTTGACCATGTGCCACTATCAACAAGAAGTACCAGCTAGTTACCTTGGGTGCAGGTGTCGATTCCTTGTATACAGTGGGGTGTCAAAAGTTCGTGTGTAGCGCATAGTATCCCGCAAAAGTACTACTTTTTAACAGCGAATAAAACTTAAATATAATAAGAAAAAGAAATCGAAAGTCACTATATAACTAATTAGCTATTATATTACTATG